AAGTAATAATTAAATGTGTCAACCATAAAATTATTTTTCATTAAAGTGCTTTTGTTCTACTAAAAAAACTATATATTGTTAAAATTTTTCTACCTTAACAATAAAGCACATGCTTGATTATTATATTAGGCAATTTGAATCTGGCAATTCTGTCTTCCATTTAATTCCTACTCAGCTTACCACATTTCTATTTTTATTTTCTGTATTGGGGATAGAACTTGGGACCTTGCTCTTGTGAGGCACATGGAACCCACTCCTAACATTTCAGATTATCTCATTTAAATAATTTAGATGCCAAAAATTATTGAAAGCAATAGGAGCAAGAGAGAATGGGGGAACAAACAGGAAAGGCTAATTTCATATTTAGAAAATTACAGATCAAAGCAAAGATTGATAAATCCAATTTCACTGAACATGAACTTCAATTCTTGAGAGAGGATTATATAAGTAATGACTTTTGTATTTTCACAAGGAAATTCCTTTTCTATTTAATATTTAAATATTTATTTTACTTAATATTTGCTTAATATAAAAGACTGATTGAAATTAGGGAAGTCTAAAATCTTATGTCTTCTCCACCTCTAACTCCTTCTATGAACGCTTCCAGCCCCTGATGTAACTACACTAGATTCTCCTCTATAAAGCACAAAAGTTTGGGCTGGAATCAATTTCTTGAATATGTCACGGGGTTAACATTCCCGGATACTCCGTTTATCACCTTCTGTCACTTTACAAGTCACTTTATCTTTTTTTCCCTCATTGCGTTTATTGGTACATTTTAGGCATACAGTACAGTTACATTCATCACTGGGATCTTGTACCTTTACATGACAGGACTTGGTTCTCATTTTTTCCTCTGGTCTCTGCCCTCCCTTCACCCCCTCCTCCCTTCCCTATTTCCAAAAACTTTATTTCCAGTTTTTTTCATTTTCTCATATTTTTTTTCTTTTCCCTTATTACCTTTCCCCTAACCTTCCCACTTTCCCTATACCCTTAGCCCTTTTCTTCCTATTTCACATTGTTAATTATACCATTAGTATCTTTTTTACAATTGTAGTTTTTCACACATGTGTGAATCCCAAATAGCTTCTCTGGTGTGAAAAACAAGTCACTTTAATTTATCACATAACTGCAATAAAAACCTGAGAAGTAATAAAAACATGATTTTCTTTTTAGATGCCAAAGCCCAGAGGTTCCTATAGTTTGATTTTTAATTAAACTTGACTTGCAAGTTTCTCATCACTCCCACATCTTTATCTTATTATTTTTTTGTAGAAAATTTTTAAGAAATTTGAAAATATTTTAGTTACAAATAGTGAACCTAGCATCTAGAAACAATGTTTACACCACTTATTGAGCTGTTGTAAAGAATGCAACATTAGTCCACTAAAAATCAAGCACATTACACTCTGAGCCCCTATAAATATGAGATTTAATTGTCTTTCGCACTTATTGTTTGAAAATCTGGTCTATAATAGTGATGAAAGAATGAAAAGAGAACACAGCCATCATCATCTGCTTCCACCAAGTTAGGAACTAAGATACAAGAAGATTAAATTTCTGAGTTGAAATGCTACTGAGCATAAGATGCTGATTATTACATTGTGTCACCAAAATAATGAAAGCTTTATGGAAGAACCTCCTGTTTTAAAGCTGTAGTTCAGTATAAAGGTCTGTTTTTCCTTACCTGTTGTAGACTCAGAGGAACTTTTATAAAGAACAAGTAAAATAAGGCATAAAATCTTGATGGTCAGGATAGAATAAGGCCTCTTTCTTGGTATTTTTGTGGAAGAATTAAAAGCATCATACCACAGTTTGCTAAATCTTGGCAACAGCCCAATTGTCCATCAACTGACAAAATGTGTGTGTGTTTTTTTTAAAGTAAACAATGGAGTTCTACTTTGCCATAAAGAAAGATAAACTTGGGACACCTATAGCTAAATGAATGTAGCTTGAAACCATACTCAAGTGAAATAAATTGGATACAAATGTATAAATATTACATTTTCCCCTGGTGTGAGAAATTGAAAGTATAAATAAGGACAGAAATGTGTGATAAATACTGTAAAATAGGAAGAAAATGTTCAAATGGGAAGGAACGCAAGGAAAGGGGAAGAGTGAAAGGAGGGAAGGGATAGGAAACACAGAAAAGAAAAATGAAAAAAAAACCCCTTGTAAATAAGAGGAAGAGAGGAAGAAGGCAGTAGAAGGGAATGGAAAACATATGAATCAAGATATATTATGTACGGGTACAATTTCCATATGATGCATGTGATCTAAATGAGTGTATATCTAAAGTTATTTTACCAATAAACTTAATGGTATAAAGGCCGGCCATTGAAAATAGAGAAGCTGTGGTGTTTTCCTCCTGGCAGGTAATGGGTCTTCCATTAGATGGCACGTACTACCATCAAGGCACCTTACTTAAGTTATTGCACATGTGTTCCACCCAAAGACCTTAGATACCTTTCTTCAAAAGTGTAAGAAATTATGTACAGTCCTCATTGTTAAGGAGGCAAATCTTGTCCTGGGTTAAAATGGTCAACAGTGAAGGAGCCCCTGGCAAGCAGGATACACACATAGGCAAAGTCCCTGCTTTGATTAAAGGATGTCAATGCCACATCCTCCTAATATTTTTGTCAGAACAGTCTTAATGTTTATCAAGAATTTCTTAATAGCCAACAGAGAAACTTGTAGTCTTTTATGAACCTAACTGGCACTTAATGATATGGTGCATATATTTTCTACCTTCCCTCATTCTATTGTGCAATGACTTTCAAAATTGATAACCACATTTTGTAGGTAGATACTGTGAAAACAGTCAGAAAAACTTGATGTTAGAAGATTGATTATACAATTGAACTGTCCTAAAATCCATTTACTGTGCTTATTAAATGGGCACAGATGAAATATTCTCCTAAAGCTAACACTTTAAGAAGAATGGGGTGTTTTAGTCCTCTATAGGTTTTCATTGGTTCTGTTTCATTGATGTCAGTATTAGCATCACATACGGAAAGGAACCCAAGAGAAGCCGGTGTCTAAGGCATTTCTAACCACTTAGTAGTTAAGAAATATACTCAAAATTAAAAGCAGTCAAACACGCCTCACTTTAGATAGAATCTGACTACCCTACACGAACACATCCAACACACACACACACACACACACACACACACACACACATTCAAGAATGGAGCATGCAATCAAATGAAATGAAATGAAAACCAAACTGATATTTCAAAAAATTTGAATAACAGCTTGATGTTTCTTGATGGATTAGAATTGTCAAGCAACCTCAAATGTAAATCACCCCAAAGTAATAGATAAAAAGATTTTTCTAAAGTTTGAGAGAGACCGTCCAAATAAAAATCAATATACTATTAGTGGTAATCAAACATGGGGGAATACAATTTTGTCTTATCCCTATTTTTGGTATGGATGACTGTATATTGTTTGTGATACACTAGCTAAACTTGAAAAGTATTCCACACACTACCTACCTATTTTCTTGCTGTTCTTTTGAATCTGTATTTTCAGGCTAAAGACATTGTCATCTTCCACACATAAGGAATTTTAAAATCTTCTTATGTAGGTTATTCTGCTACTATAAAGTATATATTCAATTTACAACTTTATTATTATGTTTTGGAACCCAATAGAGCAATAGAAGTTGTTTGCAGTGACTCAATTTTTTTTCCAAATTTATTCTAGTCTTTTATATTCTAATCAGACTTTAACTGGGAATTATGTGCCATTTCTAATAAATTTCTGAGTTTCTGCCACCTGTGTGATGTTTTGCGGAAAAAATAGTTTAATTATTTTCTTCTAGATTTATTTGTTTAGCTGAAGTTATGGAAGATAATAACTTCTGCTTTTATGAGACTGTTTACAATGTATTAGTAAGTAGGTCTTAGCATGGTTAATAGAGTGAGGAGTTTAGCTTCATCAATAACACTTAAAATAGATTGAATGTTCACTATATGGTAGGCATTCTTTTCTCTACATGAATTATCTCATTTAATTCTCACAACCACCTCATGAGACCAGTTCTATTGTTTTCCTCTTTCAGATTATGTTGCTATAGAAAGGGAGTTGTGACTCCCCTTGTGAACAACCAGTGTACACTGAAGGCAGAAAAGGAAGTTAGTCTTATCTAGCTCTTCAAGCCTAGTTTTTAAACAGTGCTGAATTGCATCATCAATGCCCCTTTTATGATAATATAAAATGATTTAGCAATTATATTATACCCCAAGAAAACAAGCGGCACAATCTCATATACAGGAGTAAGTGTCCTCTGTCCTTGTTGTGGTAAGTTAAGATTTGAAGGAGAAAGTTCCTCTGAAATAAGCCCATTACCCAATGGCCTTGCTGGATACCTCTCAATTTTTAAAAGGATTCTACATAAGATTTTATGAAACTGCACAGCTAACATGAGTTATAAATAAATTTTAACTAAATGATAAAATAATCACAGAAAGTTAAAATTAAATATGCTATTAATTTTCTAGGATTTTATAACTTTTGCATTGTTTAAATTTCAGCATTTAAAATTTTGCAAATGATTTAAGAAAGCTACTTTAAATGTCTTTGGAAAAAGTTGACTAGTACAGCCATAATTCTAAAATAAGCATATTATCAAAGCAAACTAGAAAATGTTCTTTCTAAATCTTACTAAAGTCTAGGGTGCCTTCTATGCTGTGTATTCTAAAACGAATAAATTGAATAAGCTAAGCTTTTTAAAAAAATCTTGAAAAATATCACTTCTATTCATAAGCCACTTATCTTTGCTCTTTTTGCGAAAGTGAAATTGATAACTATTTGAACTGTGTTTTATTAGCCAGTATGGTCATCTAAGGAGTAGTATTTAGGAAACAAGTAGCATCCAATGGAATACATGCATATGCTCCTTAAAAGATAATCTAAAGAAAGGGTGAAGAAAAGCTGAAAAACGTGGTTCTTGCAACTGCTCCTCTAGAGCAATCTCTGAAAACAGTACTTACCCAACAATGTCAAGACACAGGCAAGTATTGCTATCAGGGCTCCTGTACTGAGGCCAGCAGGTAAGACGTAGGCCTCTGCATTGCAGGTCTGGGCTATGCCATCTGTGTCACAGTCGCACACACGGATGGTGAGGGTGTTGGTACTGCTGAGTGAGGGGGATCCACTGTCCACAATGAAAATTGGCAGGTAGTAAACAGATTGCTCCTGTCTCCGAAAGCCACTTCTCCGGGTTAGTATTGAGGCTGTGTTGTCTAGGATAAAGAAAGTAAATATATACAGCAAGATTTGTAATGGGATCAGTCTTCAAATTTTACATGGTTATGTTTACTTTTATTCCTTAGCTCAATAATGTCCTGGAATTGCAGATATTTATTTAACAATTACCTCTATGTTTCATTGGACAAAGAGACATTACCAATGTAATACATTTTGAGACATTGATATTATTCTGCACGTAGCCAAATAAATAGATATGAAGTAGAGCTGAATATGAAAATGCCTGTATACCACATATCTTATTAAATATAACTGTCAAAACTACATATAATATCTCTTTTTACTTAAATATTAAACCATACAGTTATAGAGACAACAGATTACATATCTTTGGTACATAATCTCATAGTGCAGAAGAAATTTCCAACCCATTTTTTGCCAAGTTCCAAGCTCAATATAAGAAAAGTAAAAGATGCCCCTGTGGATTTATTCAAATTAAGTCACAGTCACATGTCACTTAATGATAGCATATTATTAAGGAACTGTGTAAGGACATTTGACCTTTGTGGGGGCACTGGTACATACAATAACTAAGGCGGCTGCACCTACTAGGTGATATAATTTTATGGAGCCATGATAACATATGTGGTCCATAAGTCTGTAATTCACTGAATTACCACATGAATGTACATAGATATTCTGAATGGAAATAATTGTATACAGCTTTTGAAAATTCTATATTTTACTTTTACTTAACCAAATGGCATATATAAATATAAAAATAAATTTATATGTGTGTGTCAGTGATAACACATGTCATTTGTGTTTATTGATATTCAGTATTCTATTTAATCTGAAGATTGTAACAATTATGAAGATTTAAAAAGTTATCAACACATGCAATACCATAACTGCAATTTTTATGAAAAATATACTTTAAAAAAGTCTGTTAGTAATTGCTCCAGATAAAGTATCTTAACAAACTAGAGAAGTTAGGGTATTCTTAGAATTTATAGCAATTAATGAAAATACAAAGCACTAGAGGGGAAATTAGGACCACAATTTCATCTAGTGTGCATCTTCCCTTCCCAAATAGTTTCAAAAGGTATTTATCCAATGTTAGCAAGAAAGGATTAACAATAACCTAGATAAAAAGCATACATTCTTCTCAAGAAGTACAAAATAGTAAGCTCACATTTAGACTACAGAAAAAGCTATTAATCCATATATTAATGAGACAGTAATATAATATTTTGATGATCATTGTCCATCTGGTAGATTTTTAGGTGAACAAATATTTTACTTTAAAATACATAAATTTTAAAAGGTAAACACAGAATTGTTGAGGAATACTTCATTTGTATATTCCTACACACTTACCAGTAACACATAGATCTATGTCTTTGTGTCTTACCAATGCAGATGTTATATATATTTATAACTTGATAGAAAAAGTTTTATAAAGTAATTTTGTAATCTAACGTGACTAATATCAATAGTACATATTTGAAGCATAAATTGAAATGATCAGTGTGTGAGAAGAGGACCTTGTGTTCAGGAAAGACTTTATAAAACTTCAGTGTTCTATATCTGCCCCATAACATGGATAAAAGCATCAGATTTTTTTTCTTCCTTCTCATGTCTCCTTTCACAATTAGGATTGGGAGCTCTAATATGCATGTCCTCGAATCTTAGATATTTCCATACAACAACCACAGTGGTACACGATCATGACACACGAGGAATATACTCATATTATTATAAAGGTCACATATATTTCATATTGTACTAGTTGTCCCAAAAGTCAAGGATTATCCTTGCTAACCAAAATTAAGTAAGAGAGATTGAGACTACCCACATAAGAATCTTTCTTTTATAAAGTGACAACACAGTTTTCAACAAGTAGAGAACTCAATAAGGAAATAATTATTTTCAGGTTGAATTTTTGAGGCCACAGTTGGATTTTCTGCAGTAATGCAGGTTGCGGCCTCAGGCAAAAACCCTCATAATATTAATCTTTTGAAAGTAAGTCTTTTCATACCTAAAATGTAACAATAAACTTAATGAAAAAAAAGAGAAAGTCTTTTCAGTCGGTTACTGTTGGCTACTCTATATACTTCTACATTTTCCAATGAAATCAGATATATAAAGTTTCCACATATAATAAAGTTTACATGCTTCTTTTAAAAGTCTTATAATTGTTAAAATGTACTAATAAAACCAGAATCTATTCATAGGTATTTGCAGAAGTGTCTTTATAATAATGATTAGGAAATTGCTAAAGCATTACTTTTTATTTAGCAGAGACATACAATGCGGCAATAAAGATAATTCTATTATAAAACTGTTTTTGCATAATTGATGTATTGTTTTCATGGATTAGCTTTATTTTTATGTAAAAATATTATTGTTTTATGTCAAAATATTATCAAGCTAAAGTTGATTGAGTTGAACTTATTTTCCTAATATCTCCAGTTGAATCTATGCATCCCAATTTATCAAGATATTTGGCCTTCAACAGATCGTTTAGATAAAGTATTTGGTAAGGAAGCAAATGTCTAGTAGAAAAGAAAAAATTAAATAGATCTAACTTTCCTAACTTGGCTTGAAGCAGAAAATGACTGAAACAGCAGCTTCTCCTCATGACAGCAAATCTATGGATTAAAATTACTTGAGGTGAACATCGCCCTTTAATTAATGTCCTTGCTTTTTTTTTTTTAATACATAGTCAGCATTACTGAGGGAGAAAAAGTGTTTGCTTAGACAGTCTGTACTTGCTGCCTCGGCAGGTGACAGTAGCTACCTTTGTTATCTTTCAAGGAAAAGTTGTGGTTATTTGTTGCATCCATTGTTAAGCTGAAGTAGAACTGGTGTCCATTGGATGGTTCATCTTTATCAACAGCACTGATTTTCTGGATGACCTAGGAAAAGAAAATGTAAAAGAGGAAGGCATATTGTGTTCTGCTAAGTATTCTGAGCCAAGACAGAGCAATTTTCCCCCATATAACAAATGCCTTCTTCCTAAATGAAGTGGAGGAATAGATCAGATGTGTCAGTATGAACCCAATCTGAAAAGAGCTCTGGGAAACAAATCATGTCCTTTGTAAGGTGCATATTTAAAGTTACTTTTGTGATTCTCATGAATAAGCTGTGCCCATTGATGAGACATTCCAGTAAACATTACAAGACACAGAACAATAGGAATGAACAAACCAAGCTGAGGCAGAGCTGCACTTCATTCTTAGAACTCAGGACTTACACTGTCAAAACAAGGTCAATATGCGATATTTCTCCTTGAGGGAGTCTCAGACCTTAACCACTTAAAAGGCTGTTACAGTGTTTACCATTTCTTCCTGAGGAATTTTCATCACCCAATTAAACCAAGATTCAAAAGTCCTTTTGATATTATTTCATGCTGTACATCAAAGTGTAAGTTTTGCTGAAACAAGCTGATTATGTGTTGTTTTAACTTGGAAGATTTCAAAGGCATCGCTACTGGATATTTTTAAAGGCATCACAAATGAGGACTAAAGTGTTTTGAAGACTCACCTGCCCGGGTTGTGCATTTTCACACACCATGGTCTCATAGTCCATGGCAAATTCTGGGGCATTGTCATTAATGTCAAGAATGGTGATGGCCACATAACCTCTTCCTATCTGAGATGGATTCTCTAACAAATAAGAAAACATGTAACAGGTACTTTTATACAAAGTTTATTATTTTGCTATTATTTTACTAATACAATTTATAGAGAAAACAAGCAAAAATATATTAAAAAAGCAAGCAAAAATGTTTGTATCTCTAAAACAAGGTTAAATCTCAAATGAAATCTAGAATCATGCCGTATGTTCTTTCAAGGAGCCACAGATATCCTGATCCAAATGTGTGCATGTATCAATTTATATGATATATCTACACATTCATACTATATATGTGTGTGTGTGTGTGTGTGTCTGTGTTTAAATACATCACATAGGGTGTGTGTATGTATACATGCATTTATATATTTGTACATGTTTCTCTGTTTATGTGACATTTTATGTATATGCATGTTTTTAGTCTTTGATAAAACTGCTGTTAAAGAATGAAGTGTAAACCACAAAGTTAAATATTCTTCAAAGCTACAACTCATAATTTTATGGATATAAATTCATATTATATACATGGATTATAGTTGCATATATATAACTAATATATAATGTACACTATGTGCATATGCATATGGTTATGCATTTTTCAATGGTGTTCTTATAAGGGACTAAAATAAGAACAACACCAGATATTCAAATTTATTTTTCTTCATAAGAATCAACTTGTTACTTTTGTGTGTTATTTTGCCAATTCCCTTCAGCATAAATGAAATAAATAAACAGTGACCATAGAGCCACAAATAGTTCTTGAAAGGTAATACAAGCCTGTTTTCTTTTTTAAAAAATTTTTATAAATATTGTCATGTAAGGCAAATTAATATAGGCCTTTTCTTTACAGATGGAAATTTTGGACATGATTGTTCTTATTCAAATCAGTTAAGCAACAGTTACAATTCACATTGGCTTTGTAATCCCAAGACAATCTGTCTTCCACTCTCATTGTTCTCTGTCCTAATACAATTTTAAACCTTACAACTTACGGCTCTCCATTGCTAGGACTGTGATGTTATGAACAGCATTTGTCTCTCGATCCAAAGATTTTGCGGTTGTAATAACTCCACTGTTGGCATCAATATTGAAATATCTCTCCAAGTCTGTGTTCCTGTCAATTGAATACCTAATTAAAAATTAAAGAAAAAATAATATTTGAGTTTGATTAATTTTTGCTAAAATAATTTCATTAATGGCAGAGCAAACCTTGATGGCTCCATGATGAATCTTGGTAATAATGTAATAGATGCCTTGTTTTAAAACTTCTTTCATATAGTTCATTCATATTCTGTTATGGGTAGCCTTGCTTTATTTTATTTTATTTATTTATTTTTGGTACGAGGGATTGAACTCTGGTCCTTGAGCTTGCAAGGTGGACGGCAGAACCATTGAGATAAATCCCCAGCCCACGGAATAACCTTGCTTTTATTCAAACAGTCCAAAATGAATATCACAGTATATTTGGTTACATTTGTAATGACTTTTCCAATGTCATTCAAACTTGAAATTCGTCATCATCATCATCATCATCACCATCGCTCCTGAAGAGTATTTACAACAGATACCAGCCCTTGCCATGGTTACTTCCTTCTAAAATCACCATATGTAGGTGTATTTCCTTTTGCATATGCTTAGTAATATCTTACGTTCAACATTTCCAACCTGATATTAATCTCTTTTCATTTTGTATCTCTCACTCAAGGGTTTGAGCAGGCTTCCAAAGATAGATTTTAAAGTAGACATCTCATAATTACATGACTATTTGGTATGTAAAAACCCTTTCTCAAAATATCCAAAATCCAAACGTAAGTGAAAAATGACTGTTGCCCTCTTATTGTTATTCCATTTTATTATTTGTTCAATGCACAAAAATCACCCTCCACTATTAAGTCACTCTTTCATATTGTTTTCACAGTCTTTCTAGTTGAGTAATAGGGAGGCTGTCATTTATAATCAAATGATTAAACAAACTAAAGAACAGAAACAAAACATACAACCACTTTCTCCCTGATGATTAGTAACTGATTCAGCTGCCCATGAACCTTCAAACAATTGACTGTGGCAAATGATCCCATGCCCTAGATTCAGTCAGAGCTTCTTATGAGCTTATTCCTAGCTATTCTTTCTCACATACGCAGTACTGCTGAAAACTCTAAGTCATGCATCCAACTCTCTGTTCTCTCCACTCCAGTGGTTTTGCATCTCGATGAAGTCTTACAACTACTCCTGGTACCATCTTTTTCATTTCAATTTTCCTTTGTTTCCTCACTTCATCTTACTAATTTATATGCCATGGGTCCTCATTACTTTCAATCCTGTGCATATACAATGCAGTGCAATTTTTCCTAAGAAAATAACAATCATTTACTATACCTCACTCTTTTGAATTAAGAATATGAGAATGTATTGATACTGAAGATTTTATTCCTGATCTTCCAAGTGGATGCATTCAAATGGTGGTGGAGCCTGCAGTTATTTCATGATTTGAAGCTGGAAAATCTTGTTCCCGAGTGGATGGCATGTAAATGGCACAGACAAAATATTGGTAATGGAAAAATGGCTTCTCTTTATGACACTGCCTGGGTTTCCAGGGCAAAAGAGTTGACTACTCCAGAGGAATCCATCCAAAGATTTTAGAAGAGGGTGGCAGCAGCAATATATTTATGACCCAGCACTGGAAGTGATGTACCACTGCTTCCATCATAAATTATGAGCCACATAAGCCACTGTAAGACAACTTGAAAACTAAATAGACCAATAATTTTAGGCTTTTTATTAAATTAAATTTCATAAAGAGGTGGTATGCTGGATAGTTTCCTTAATGTACTTTCTTAACATAGAATAATGATGAGTAAAAGGTTATTAATGAGTTTTATGGAGGTGTTCTATATAGCATTTCTGAAGCTAATTTTGAATATAAGAACACAAAATTACTGGCCTACCAAAGGTTTTTTCTAACAACTCTTCTTGATTTTTGGATTAAAGCTTGAGTAAAGGATATCTATCTATCTATCTATCTATCTATCTATCTATCTATTCTCTCAAACAACTCACAAATAAAATTCACAAATTATTCATTTATCAGGGTCTTTCTATGTAGCTGAGGCTGGTCTGTAACTCACAATTTTATTTACATAATTTTATTTTTATATGATCATTAACATCAATCTAATAAGTTTTTATTAATGTTGTACAGCTCTACGGATTTTAGCACACTGTGAGTGATGCAAACACCACTGAAATCAAATGCAAAAGTGGCCTATAGCTTTGAAGCTCCCTTTTGCTTTCTCTTTGCAGTTACAAACTCTTCCACCAGGAAGCGTTGGCAAAAGCTGATACATTCCACATCATCACAATTTAGCCTTTCTGAGAATATCGCTGAAAAAGAATTCTATAGAATGTGAGATTTTGGGCCTGGCTTCTTGCACTCAGACGAAAGACTCACCCAGCTTATGTGACTATCCCTTACTATTATTATCTTTTTAATTAAACTGTCCATTCATTTTTCAGGCTTACTAGTGTTCCAATAAATAAATCTATGACAGCATGTTTTCAGATTCATGTACTGAAATGTATTTGGTTAGTATCAGTGGTGACAAACAGAGCTTCTGCATTTATATGTTTTGTTGCAACATGTTTTCTTTTCTCTAGGGCGTAGAATCACTGTAGAATTACGTGTCAAGTGCATGCTCATAAAAAACTGAATAGTCTTTTCCAACTTAGCTGTCCCATTTGGCATTCCTATCAGAAAGAAATGGCAGTTCTAGGTATTCTTACTACATTGTGCTCTATAATTTGCATTTTCCTAGTAATAAACTATGTTGACCATCTTTTCATGTGATTATCAACCATACGCATCTTTAAGTATACTGTTTAAGTAGGCTGCCTAATTTTAATTCAGTTGTTACCAATAAAGTGTTGAGAGATCTTCATGCATACTTAATTCAAGACTCATGCTGAATATGTGATTTTAAATATTTTTCCTAATATGTAGCATGTCTTTGTCTATTCTAACATTACTTTTTAAAGAGCTCAAAATTGTAAGCATGATGAATTTTAATATTTCTAATAACCCTTGCTCATAAAAACATTCATCTATATTTTTTAGAATATTATGCATTTTAAATATATCATCCATTTAACATTTTTAATACATAAAATATAGGTCAAGGGTCAGAGATTTGGCTCAGTGGTTCCGCCGCCTGAAATATATATATATATATATATATATATATATATGTCATAGTTTATGTGTATAAATTTGCCTGACTGTTACAGTGTCTCTTGAAAGCCTATCATCTTTTATTAAATTTCCCTTATATATTTGTCAAAAATCAACTAATCATATGTATATGGATCTACCTAGAGAATCTATTCCATTTTATTTAATTATGTGTATTCTGTCTTACATCACCTATACCATAGAATTTTGATTGCTATAGCTATAAAAGCATCTTGAAATCTGAGATTTCTCCATTTGCTTTCTCTTTTTTAGAATTATTTTGATATCCTTTAGGCTTTATGTTTTCACACACATTTTAGGTTCATCTTGTCTATATCATTAAAATTAACTACTAGGTTTTAATTCTAATTCATTAGACTTAATTGTAATGAATCTGTGGATTAATTTGTAAACGAGTGACAATTTTACTACATTGAGGCTTCCAAACAACATATGTCTGTCTGCTAGGCTTTCCTTAATTTCTTTCATCCATAATTTGTATTCATCTCCATAGCCGATCTGTACAAATTTTGCTAACTCTATATCGAGGTATTTTATTTTTGGAGTTTTTATGAACTGCAGGTTTCTTTATGTCATAGGTTTCTAATTGTTTCATGCTAATAAATAAAAATGCAAAGACTTTTCTAGCTGATTTGATATTTTGCAAATTGGAAAATAACTTATTGTTCTAAGAAAATTGCAAGAAAAATTCTTGTGATTCTCTATGTACACCACCATAATATCTCTATTTCTTCCACGGCTTTTATTTTTATTATATTACTGCACTGAAAAAATGACAGTAAGATGGTGATTACAAATACTACCTGGATATTATTTTTGTTTTTGAACTGTGGGGAGCAAGCATTGAACTGTTCACCACTGGCTACAGTACTAGTTGCAACATTTTTACATATGTTTTATTAGGATGAAGAGGTTTTTTTCCTAATTGATTAAGAATTTGTTTTTAATCAAGAATTAATTTTTAATTTGGTCAAACATTTTCCATCTATTTATTACTATTAATCTTTATTTAATGTATTGCACTGAGGAAATATAAATGTTTTGCCAAATTTATGCCTGTGAAATAAACCTTAAACATACTGATATATTTTTTTCTTTCATTGCTTGAAATAATATTCTAATATTTTATTGAAAATGATTATATGAGAGTTCCTAATCTAAAGTTTTACTTTTTTGTGCTAACTTTATCTCATTTTGTTCCTGAATATAATATAATGTTGGACCCATAAAAATGATAGGGTGCAGTCCCAGGTTTCCTATTTTCTAAAAGACAATGGATAGACTTTACAATAATTCTTTATTTGATCCTTACTAGGATTTGCTAGTGAAACCACAATGGAGTGGATATCTCTTTTTCAGGAAGGTTGTAAGTATAGACATAGTTTGTTCAATAAATACAGGACTACTCAGGCTATTTTATATTGGGTGATTTTTAAAGTTTACCACTTTTGAAGATTTGGTTTATTTTATCAAACCTGTGCAGAAATATTCTTAGTATTCTCTTATGTTGGCAGTATCTGTAATGATATCTCACCTTTTTTCACAAAATTTATCATTTGTTCTTCTCTTTTTCATCTATGTCAATGTTGATAGAGGATAATTAACATGCTTAATCTACTCAGAGTACAATCCTCTGTTATCAATTTCTCTATTGTTATTTTTGATATTTATATATATTAAGATTATTATTTTATTTCTTGAGTTTGCTTATGTTTATTTGGCTAACATTTTTTTAGTTTTTAGTCCAGGCCAAGGAATGATAGAGGAAAAATTGGTAAACTCACCACAAGTTTGGAAATATTATTAATAATGTTATCCAAAATGCATATTACTATTTGCTTTGCTCTACAATCCTGCATCCTATCAATCTCTAATATTTGTTT